TAGTTAGCATAACAGATCTCTGTTGGAGGGTTTATTTTGGGGCCTTCAGATTCACAGCTCTGGCTACTAAAAAGAACGCCCCCCCCGCCCTCCTACTTTCCCCACACCTCATCCCATGTGGTGATGGAGTGGACTGTTCTTGACATAATGCTACTCTATCTTGATCAATGATCTTGAAGAAAATGATTGTAGGTAAAGTTTATAGAGGACACAGATTGATGAAGTAGTAAATACTGAGAACAGTTCGGCTTTAGAGTGGTCCGGATCTCTTTATAAGCTGGATGCAATCAAGTAATGTGTGTTAATACTGCCACCTGCAAGGAACGATATCTAGGAACAGAAAATAAAAGGCCACTTACAGGACGGAGGACCACATCCTGGAAAGCAGGGCCTTTGAGAGACCTAGAGGTCATGATGGAAACCAGCTGAACATGAGATCCCAGTGGGATGTTGTGGTTAACAGAGCTTATGCAATGCTTGGATATCTAAGTGGGTGACTATTGAGCTGTATACAGCACTGATGAGATCATTCTCGGATACTGAGTCCAATTCTGGTGTCCACACTTCAAAAACAATGTTAAAAAACTGGAAGGAGCTCAGTAAAGAGTTACAAGAACGATTTCAGGTCTGGAAGACCTGCCTTATACTGAGAGACTAAAAAGTCAAATCTGGTTTATGCAAGGGAAGTTTTAAGGGATGACTAATCATCTCCTATAAGTACCTATGTGAGGAAGACATTTCTGAGAGCAAAGGGCTCTTGAATCTAGCAGGCAAAAGTATAACAGGATCTAATGACTGGAAGCTGATGCTTGGCACATTTAGAATCAAAATAAGGCACACTTTTTTTTTAGCAGCAAGGGTAATTAACCATTGGAACAACTTAGCTAAGGACATGGGGGGCTCTCCGCAATGGGGATCTTATGGTGAAATGTCTTTCCAAAAGATCTGCTGGAAGATATGGTTTTGGTGCAGGAATCATTGGGTGGAGTCTCCGTCCTGTGCTATGCAGGAGGTCAGACTAGGTTCTCCTAATGGTCCCTGCTGGCCTTAAAACTAGACAGTTAAATATGTGGCTTGACGAAATGCCTCACATAACAGGGAGAAGGAATAATCTGCAGATGTGTGAAAGTTGAAAACATCAGGCCAATAGATGGGGGTGGGGGGTAGGATTACTCAGCATAGGAATAATGGGATGAGATTAAGAAATGGAAAATTTCCTGACAGATGGATTAGACTGTGGAATAGTTTCCCAGGGAAAGTGACAGAAGCGTCATTGTATAGGACACGTAAAACAGACTGGACAAAATGCTGTGATGTATAAGGAGAAATGCTCCTGCATTGGCAGGAGGGTGGTTTAGCTGTTGGATGGAAAATTCCCTGCACATCTGTGCTATTTTTCGAACATGGGAGCTGTCCTAATCCTATTTTCCCCTTTTTTTCTAGTACATTGGAAGCCTTGATGTGCCTCGGCCAAACAGCAGGGTGGAGATTGTGACCGCAATGCGGAGAATCAGGGTAAGTGTTGCAAAGGGTGTATGTTTCCTTGTGTGTGCCACATGGTTAAAGAGACAAGAAGGGGTGCTGGAGGGCATGGCTGCCTGATGGATTCTGTGCTCTTCACTAGGCATTGATGTTTCTCATAAGCCAGCTTCTTTGATGTTCTTTCTGATTCCACATGTTCTCACTGTGGGTTTCGTGCCTTTCTCTGTGTTGTCTTGGATGTTAGAAGACTCTCCTAAAATAAGGTTTTTTTTCTTGCTGGGGTATTGGCTGGCATGGAGGCATCCAATGCCTACCTTGTGCCAGTGTCTTGACTTGGTTTTGGTGGGGTTTGAGTGGCTGCAATTGTCTCAGAAGCTGCCCACTGATAGGTCAGGGAGTGTAGAAGGAGAGCGTGGTTGTGCATGTCTGTCTTGGTTCCTGAAGCATAGACAGCTGCACAAGCAACTCTTAGATGAAGCAGGGTGTGTGTTGTGCAGAAGGGTCTCCATGAAGCATATGTGAATGGTTGAGCCCATTGCGTTTCCAGAGGTCTGCTATTACACACTGCACTATCAGAGAGGAGTGGTGGCCTGGAATCACAGTGGATCTGTTCTGGGTACCTACTGTTATCCCTGTGACTTGTGCCTAGTTTATTGCATGTTGTTTCTTTACCACTGAGGACCAATTTTAACCGTGTAGTCGGCTGGCCGATGGCAGTAAGGTGGTGAGTGGTATTGTCTGTTATCATTATGACACTGTCATGTTTGGAGATTTCCCAGGGATCTGCAGGAATGACACCTCAGTGATACCCCAGAACCACAGCCTGGCACTGCTCTGAATTTCTCTGAGGGTGGATTTGATTTAAATCAAATTGCTTTGTTCCCTCAGGGAACAGATGGGCAGGATCCCCTGGGAGAATAACATGAAGGGCAAAGGGGTCCAGGAGAGCTGGCTGTATTTTAAAGAATCCTTATTGCGGTTGCAGGAACAAACCATCCCGACGTGTAGAAAGAATAGTAAATATGGCAGGGGACCAGCTTGGCTTAACAGTGAAATCCTTGCTGATCTTAAACGCAAAAAAGAAGCTTACAAGAAGTGGAAGATTGGACAAATGACCAGGGAGGAGTATAAAAATATCGCTCAGGCATGCAAGAGTGAAATCAGGAAAGCCAAATCGCACTTGGAGTCGCAGCTAGCAAGAGATGTTAAGAGTAACAAGAAGGGTTTCTTCAGGTATGTTAGCAACAAGAAGAAAGTCAAGGAAAGTGTGGGCCCCTTACTGAATGAGGGAGGCAACCTAGTGACAGAGGATGTGGAAAAAGCTAATGTACTCAATGCTTTTTTTGCCTCTGTCTTCACAAACAAGGTCAGCTTCCAGACTGCTGGACTGGGCAGCATAGTATGGGGAGGAAGAGACCAGCCCTCCGTGGAGAAAGAAGTGGTTCGGGACTATTTAGAAAAACTGGATGAGCACAAAACCATGGGGCCGGATGCGCTGCATCCGAGGTTGCTAAAGGAGTTGGAGGATGTGATTGCGGAGCCATTGGCCATCATCTTTGAAAACTCATGGCGATCGGGGGAGGTCCCGGATGACTGGAAAAAGGCGAATGTAGTGCCCATCGTTAAAAAAGGGAAGGAGGAGGATCTGGGGAACTACAGGCCAGTCAGCCTCACCTCAGTCCCTGGAAAAATCATGGAGAAGGTACTCAAGGAATCAATTATGAAACACTTAGAGGAGAGGAAAGTGATCAGGAACAGTCAGCATGGATTAACCAAGGGGAAGTCGTGCCTGACTAACCTAATTGCCTTGTATGAGGAGATAACTGGCTCTGTGGATGAGGGGAAAGCAGTGGATGTGTTATTCCTTGACTTTAGCAAAGCTTTTGATACGGTCTCCCACAGTATTCTTGCCAGCAAGTTAAAGAAGTATGGGCTGGATGAATGGACTGTAAGGTGGATAGAAAGCTGGCTAGATCGTCGGGCTCAACGCGTAGTGATCAATGGCTCCAAGTCTAGTTGGCAGCCCGTTTCAAGCGGAGTGCCCCAAGGGTCGGTCCTGGGGCTTGTTTTGTTTAATATCTTTATTAATGATCTGGAGGATGGTGTGGACTGCACTCTCAACAAGTTAGCAGATGACACTAAACTGGGAGGCGTGGTAGATACGCTGGAGGGTAGGGATCAGATACAGAGGGACCTAGACAAATTAGAGGATTGGGCCAAAAGAAACCTGATGAGGTTCAACAAGGACAAGTGCAGAGTCCTGCACTTAGGACGGAAGAATCCTATGCACTGCTACAGACTAGGGACCGAATGGCTAGGTAGCAGTTCTGCAGAAAAGGACCTAGGGGTCACAGTGGACGAGAAGCTAG